AACTCAGATTAATCAACAAAAAAAAGAGCAAACAATCTCATCTATCATTGGGCAGGGACATGAACAGAACCTTCTCTGATGAAGACAGATGAGTGGCTAACATATGAAAAAATGCTCATTGTCCCTAAACATCAGAGAAATTCAAAACAAAACCACCCTGAGATATCACCTAACCCCAGTAAAATTAGCCTGCATCACAAAGTCCCAAAGTTGCAGATGCTGGAATGGATGTAGAGAGAGGGGAATAATTTTACACTGTTGGTGGGACCGCAAACTCATACAGCCTCTTTGGAAAGAAGTATGGAGAATCCTTGAAGAACTCAAATTAGACATCCCATTTGACCTCACAGTCCCACTACTAGGCATCTACCCAGAAGAAAAAAGTCATTTTATCATAAGGATGTTTGCACTAGATTGTTTATCACAGCTCAACTTACATTTGCCAAAATGTGGAAACAACCTAAATATCCATCAACTCAAGAATGGATTAACAAGCTGTGGTATATATATATCATGGAATATTATTCAGCCATAAAAATGGTGACTTTACATCTTTTGTATTAACCTGGATGGAGTTGAAATATATTCTTAGTAAAGTATCACAAGGAGGGAAAAAGCAAATTTCCAATGTAATCAATACTAATATGAAGCCAGAAGATGATCTAATTCATGCTCACATAAGAATAAAACTGAATTCAATTCAATTTGGGGGACGAGGAATGAAAAAGAGAGGAGAAGGGAAAAGGAGGGATTGGTGTGCTCGCACTTAATGGGTACAGTGTAGGGGTGTATGGCATACTTTTTGAGTGTAAGATAAAACTGCAAGATGGCCTGTACCTAACAATTTCAAATATTGTGACCTGGGTGTTTATATCCTCACATTAACTTGAAAAAAAAAAGAAAAAGAAAAAGTAAATTCATAACAACTAAATGAAAATTCCATTCCTCACTTTTGCCACACAGTGGGTGCTCAACCTGCACATGTGGGTAGTGAGTATGGTGTTGGGCGGGAGCTAGAGAACATTTCCCCTTCACAGGGCGCTACACAGGACCTGGCATCTGGGTTCTGTGTAGTCTATGAAAATTCTGTTTCATAGACTTCAGCCTCAACATGCCTGGTCTGCTAACAAAGATGTCAGTTCTTTGTTATAAATTTAATTTCTCATTAATACAGATTAAGACATTTTATGTCACAATGTGCTTTTATACCTGAATAGTTTAGTGGATACTTTCCATTTAAAGAAGGGGGGGAAATCACATGTTCTCTTTTAAATGTTTTTCTGAAGCTTTAACAGTTTGTACTCTTTTTGTAAGGTGACCAGACGTCCTGCTTTTGGCTGGACAGTCCAGATTTTTAACAATTTGTCCCGTGTTCCGCAGCATTTTAAAGAAATGCCAATTTTGGAAAGAATGCACAACAAGCTAGGGAATGGCAGGAGAATGAGAAGGGAATATATAGTTTTGGCTACCATGTGGCTATTAGCCAGGATATGAGTTTTATATTATTTTTGTTATTTATATTATTTAATTTCGTATAACATAATTTTTTAATTATTATATTATTTTGTTATTTATATTATTTTTGTTAATTTTATAATAAACTTTAATAATAACAAATAATTGTTGAGAACTCATTATCAAGAACTGCTTATCAAAGTTTGCATTGTTGACCAGTTGTTAGAATTCGACCACCATTGTTTGGACTTAATGAACAATGGCATTTTTTGGCATTGGCAACAACAAAAACATTTTGTAACTGTCTCTCAGATGATACACATCGCGTGCTAGTGCTAGTTAAATAAGTGATGTCAACAAATCAGCGATTCAGATAATTTAGGTAAGTAATTTATTTATTTCATGAATTTAGCAGACAGTGCTCATATTATTTATATTTTATAGTGGCTGCAAAAAGTCTAGCACCAGCCTTGAAAGTGACACTTATGACTTACGAGGTATCATTATTAAAAATATATATTGATAAGGAAAAGGTTAAATCTTGGACATCAGCAAAAATCACAATAGAGAACAAATGGTTACAACTATTTCATCATTTTGAAACAAACCATGTTCCATACAATAATGCACTAAAAATTGTGGGATACACGCTGTCCTTACCAGGAACTAATGCTGCGACTGAACATGTTTTTTCTACAGTAAATAAAGTGTGGACATCAGAAAAATCACAATTAAGTGTTGAGACTTTGAAAGCCATTTTATGTGTGAAATATAATTTAACAAATTCTTGTGAAAAATTTCATGACCCTTTAAACAACAACAATAATCTACTAAAAAAATTTCACTCAAATGAGAAATATGCCAAAGAAACATAATTTTTTTAATGTATTATATTTGTAAATTGTACTTATGTTGAAATTAAAAAATATATATTATAATACTATTTTTGTGTTCTATGAAAATTTTTGTTGCTCCATATAGACTAAATTTTTAATTAAGAACCCCCCCCCCACATCAATGGTATCCCGCTTTACCAATGTTAAAATCTGGTCACCTCACTTTTTGGTTACCCCAGTCCTTTTGCTCTTTCCCCTCTGAATCTCCCCCCCAATTTCCTTCATCACTCACATGTCCCATTACTATGGCACATTTGTCACTATCCTTTTCTTCAATGGACAAGTAAAAATCATATATATTTATAATGTACGGCTAATGTGCAGTGGCTAAATCAAGCTATTTAAAATATGAATTCATATGCTCAGTCTTTTGTGGTGAGACATTTAAAATCTCTCTTCACTATATTCCAGTGCACAATACCATGGGATGAGCTATACTCACCATGATATGATACAATAGATCTCTTGCACTTACTCCTTTCACTTTGACCAACATCTCCCCAACCCACCTCATCCCCAGCCTCTGCTAACCAGGGTGTACTCCGGGTTCCTACCGCACATTGTGATGTCCTGACCCATGCCTCATGCACTTCTCCATAGCTCGTGCTTATGTAATTTCTCTGTTCCAGGCCCCATCCAGGCCACCGCATGACATTTAGCCTTCATGTCCACTTGGGACTACCTCTCTGTGGTAGATCTTGAGAAATTTCTCATTTTTGATGACCTTGATGGTTTTGAGGAGTACTGGTCAGGCATTCTGCAGCATATCCTCCACTTGGGATTGTTTGATGCTTTTCTCCTGGGGTTAGGGAGGAAGAATACACAGACAGTTAAAGTGCCCTTGAATCACATTGTATCAAGGCTACAGTGAGACTTTCCCCACTGATCTCACCTGGATCACAGGGTTTCTTGGTTTCTCCACTGTAAAGTTCCTCTTTCTCCATCTATCCCTGTTGACACTGCAATCTTGAAGGAAGGAAGTCACTAGGCACAGCCCAGGCCTATGCAGGGGGGAGGTATGCTCCTCTTTGAAGGCAGAGTATTTACGTAAATGGTTTGGAATCTGTCTCAGTTCATGCAGGCTGCCATAACACAATACTTTAGATGAGTCCTTTATAAATTATTGAAATTTATTCCTCAAGCTCTAGAGGAGGAAAATCTCATAGATTTGAGGGACCAACAGATGTGCTGTCTGGTGAGGAACTGCTGTCTTCTTCCAAGATGGCACCTTCTTGCTGGATCCCCACATGCGGCAAGGGGAAAGACACTCCCTTCAGTCTCTTATGAGGACACAGATACTATTCATGAGGAGAGCTTTCATGCCTTAAAAATTTCCCACAAGTTCTCACCCCTGAATTCCTTCACACTGGGGCCCCAGTTTCAACATGTCAGGGTTAGGGGAACACCAACATTCAGACCACAGCAGGGTCTTCATGCACTTAGGTTGCTTAGTCCATTCTCACCCAGTCAGTTCCTTATTCTATCATTTCTTTATATAAGAATGGATTCAAATAAATTTAATGTATGGGCTTGGCACCTATAGCTCAGTGGCTAGGGTGCCAGCCACATGCACCAGAGCTGGCAGGTTCGAATCAAGCCCAGGCCTCCCAAACAACAATGACAATCACAACCAAAAAATAGCTGGGCATTGAGGCGGGTGCCTGTAGTCCCAGCTACTTGGGAGGCTGAGGCAAGAGAATCACTTAAGCCCAAGAGTTGGAGGTTGTGTGAGCTGTGACGCCACAGCACTCTACCCAGAGCGACAGCTTGAGATTCTGTCTCAAAAAAAAAAAAAAAAAAAAAAAAAGGAAAGAAATTTAATGTACATTTTGGGTTACAATCCAATACCACCTCATTTTGTTCCTGGATGATTGAAACTTTGATTGTTCTTTTCCTTTCCACATTTTCGTGTGCACGTTGTTAAAAATAACAGGGTTTGGGAGACTTCTGATTTGGGTCTTCCCTTTTGCCAGAAGCTCTGGTGCCTTTTTACTCCTTCTGTATTCCTTTCGTTCTAATAAAATCCTGTCTTACCACTGGAAAAAAAAATGACAGGGTTTGTCAGTCCTCACCTCTTCACGCACTTGTGTATTCATCCAGTGAACACGGACTGAGATGACCCCGTGATCCCGAGCTCCTTTTAAATGATTCAGCTGTACCTTCCTCTCCTCTATTCACCCCTGTCCACAACTTTCTTACCTCCCTATTCTCTGGCCCCACCTTTCCCAGGGAGCATCCCTACAGTGCGGGAATTGAAATTCACCGCCCTCCCCCATGAACTGTCCCGGGGTGAAAGGCCATCATAGACCCACCATGCCTGGGAGTTAGGGCCCTGTCCAGTTCTGGATCCTGGAGGGACTCAGGACTCTGGTTTATTCTGGAACATTCTCAGAGCTCTCTCAACACTGGGGAAAGAGCAGGATGGGCTAGAAGGCATAGAGCAGCACAAGTGGGGAAAAGTTGGGCAAAAGGGCTCTGAGCACCCGGGGCAGGGTTAGGTGCCACACCCTAGAGACCAACCTGTAGCAATGGCCCTAATCCAGGGGCTGGGTGTCTCTCCTCCCCTGGCCAACAGAGCCCACCCTCTGGGCCATCCACTTCCCATACCAAGGCACTGACTTTCTTCACTTCTTCCACTGCACAGGTTTAGGGAAGCTTCTAACTCCCTCTCCACTGAGGGCTTCCTGTTTTCTCTTCTTCACTACTGTCAGAAACAACTTGGCAGTGGCATGGCCGGAGGGGTCCCACACCTGCTGCTGCTGCCTGTGCTGCTAGTTCTACTGACCTCAGGTGCTATGGAGGGTGGAGGGCAGTAGGGTGATGGCTGAGGGTGGCTGGGAGCAGGAGGGCACTTTGATGAGGAGCATGGCTTTGGTGGCCACATTCTGCATGTAGGCATGAGACGATGTTTTCTCTGTCCCTTCCACAGCCCTGTGGAAGCTACCAGGACTCTAACCTGAGGATTTGTTACAGGTTCTGGGGGAAAGTTACCTGAGGAACTTCACCAAGCGCTGGGACAGACACTGTCTCTGAAATGCCAGTACTCACCCATGACAGGGCCTTATCAGTCCAAAGCCTGGTGTCACCAGACTTCCCCGAATCGATGTACCATACTAGTCCACAGCTCCAAAGCCCAGACAGCAGCTCAGAAGTCTCGATATACCATCTGGGATGAGCCCAAAGCTGGCTTCTTCAATGTTACCATGACTCAGCTGATGAAGAATGACTCAGGATCCTACTGGTGTGGAATTTACAACTCTTCTAGCAAAACCATCGTTGTTCTCAGAGAGATCAGCCTGGTGGTGACTCCAGGTGAGGCTCTTGAGTAAGTAACTCTGCCAGCCCTGAACCTGGAGGAAATGAACCTCACCCTCCACAATATCTCCCCAGTCCTCACCTCTGCTTCACCTGCACATCCAGGCTTCAACTGCTGGGAAGATACACCCAGACATCCCGGACAGGGCCCTAGAGTCTCTCTCTCTGTCTCACACAGGCACAATTATCATTCTTCATTTTACCCCCATAATAGTTGTGGTGTCCATGTTAGGCACAGGGCACCTCTGCCTTAAGGGATCCTGAGGAAGTGGGCTGTGGGCCCCCGACTTCCTCTCCATCTTTGGATTCCCTACCCCATTCTCTCTTCTCACCCCAGATGTTTGATGTCAACTTTCTTTTCTCTTTAGCACCGACAACTTCTCCTATGTGGACCCTCACCTCACTCCCAACAAGGACAGGTAGGCGTGGATCTCAGTTAGGGTATGAAGGAGGGGTGCCCAGGAAGCTTGAGGTCTTTACACTCAAGAAGGAGAAACTATGGCAGTGTACACCGGGAATTGATCCCCTGGGATCTGGGCTGCTGGGAAGCTACCTTCAAGACCTCCTGGGCTTCACGCCCTGGGAGATAGACATGCACTTATGTGATCTGATCATGAAATAGCCATGTGGGTCCAATGAAGGGCAGGTGTGCCAAGAGCAAGGCCATGTGGAGGACCGTGCACCTATGTATCCCAGCCCTGCTGTCTGCTTCTCACTGGAGGGAGGGAGCCTCCTCCCTTTTGGGCCCAGCCCTGGCCTTGAATTCAGCTGGGTAGAAAGATACCTGAGCCTTCGGGTACCCCGGTACTGAGGGACCTTAAGGAGCTAGCTACGGCCCTTCCCACTTACTCCCACAATTTTGGGACAAAATTCCATTCTCTATTTGGGTCCATTGTGCAGCTACTTTTCTTCTTCATGTCCTCCTTAGTTCTGATCACTTCTCCAGAGGGGACCTCCAGTCATCCTTCTATCAATGGCTCTGACACCAGGTAGGTCTGGGGCTTCATCAGGAAGGTGGGCCCGGGAAGCCATGGCCTGATAGATCATGCAGCGTCAGAGCCAGGGAGAGGGCACCTGAAGATCCTTTTGGGGATGGCTGGAGCATAGGGCACTTGGAGGGGCAGCCAGGCCCAGGTTCACACTTGGGTAGAGAGGAATGGGCAGGAGGATGCAGGTATGAATTCTGGAGAACCAGAGGAAAGACAACAAAATGGGATTCCTGCAATGAGACAAAACGGGCCCCAGAACATGTGGGAACTGGGGGCTGTGGGTATGGAAGGTGGCTGTGCGGAGTGACTGCAGCCTGGGGCACACGGAGGCTGCCAGCTGGAAAAAGGTGAGAGGAATACTTTCCATTTCTGCTCCTATCCTTGCAGTCATGGGTTTGAGGCTATCATGGAGTCCTAACAGGCTGCAAGTAGCCGAGTGCTTTGGGGACTGAGAGGCACAGGCAGAGCACTGTGGGGTGATGAAAACAGACCACACCTGCCTGGGCACATTTTGCTCCTGCACAAGCTCCTGCTCCAAACTACCAGGCAGGGACATTACAAACCAGTGAGCTTAAGGTGAAATCCTAACCAGAGATAAGGACAGCAGCCAATGGGGGTGTCAGGGATCATGTGCCCTGTGGCTTAGCCCTCTCACTTTCCACACTCTCTAGGAAAGGGACCCACTGCACTCCTTCCCCATCTTCAGACTGAGTATCAGATAACCCCAGGGGAACCTGAATTCACAAGCCAAAGGACCAGCCATCTTAGAACTGCCACCTTAATAGAATGTTAGCACAGCACAGAAGAGAGGGCTGGGAAGTGGAACTGTGGGAACTGATAGTGCAGTACAGAATTGGACTTAACAGTAATGTCCAGCTCCAGGGGAAGGGAGTTGGTGAGGGAAGCAGGGGGATCAAGAAGAAGAGCCATTAAAAGAGCTGAATGGAAACACCAGCTGTGAACCCCCTGGGAGGGAGACTGTCAGGAATGATAAAGGATGTGAGTGGGAGGGAGCTGGAAGAGTGAGGATTTCTCAGGGACTGTTCCTGGAAAGGACAGAGACTTAAAAATCAGAAGTTAGGACACAGGAGGGACAAAAGTAGATGTCCTAACAGAGGGGTTTTCAGAACCCCTGCAGGCGGGACACAAGGGACAGGAAGAAATATTTGCAGAAACAACCGAGATACATTTTTCAGAATTATAGGCAGAGAGAAGACTCAAACCTTGGCAAGAATAGAGAACAGGAAACGCACACGGAGACAGAGCCACTCACACACACTCTCACCTCTAGAATCATCATGTGAAATGTAAAAACATCAAAAACAGAGAGAAAATTCTGAAGGCTTTCAGATCACCCACAAATAAACAAGAATTAGACTCACATCAGGCTTCCTAACAGGAACGCTGGATGCAGGAAGAGAATTGAGTAATTATTCTCAAGTATTAGAGAAACGAAGTTTGCATCTAGGATTTTATATCCATCCGAATTCTCATTTCTTGTCACGATACCTTTGCACTTCCAAAACCTCAGAAGTTTTGGCAGAGCCTCCCACTGAAAAAATGGCTCCTGCAGGAAGGACTCAGTTAAAATGAGCAACACAGCCTGGAGATGGCGCAAGAAGCGAGGAAGTAAGGGCCGTCAAGCACCTTGATAAGGTATTTTTTGTGTGTCTTTTTTTATTTAAAAACAATAGGAGCTAATGCAAAAAGAAGAAAAAGAAAAAGTATATCCATGACCATGGAAAAATAACATTGTAGACATTCTGTCCTAGACAATAAAAACATGGTGTGAGGAGGAGAAACTAGAGGCCCAGGCGGTGCCTGTGGCTCAGTGAGTAGGGCACTGGCCCCATATACCGAAGGTGGCGGGTTCAAACCCAACCCCAGCCAAATTGCAACAAAAAAATAGCCAGGTGTTGTGGCAGGCACCTGTAGTCCCAGCTACTCAGGAGACTGAGGCAAGAGAATCGCCTAAGCCCAGGACTTGGAGGTTGCTGTGAGCTGTCACACCACAGCACTCTACTGAGGGTGACAAACTAAGACTCTGTCTCTAAAAAAAAAAAAAGAAAGAAACTAGAGGCCAATGAAAGGATGGTTAGATTTTTGTCTCATGAGAGGTGATGTGTAGATACTGATAACTTCAATGTGCCATTGGGCATTATCAATATAGTTTTAAGTCTTCAAGTTAAGCAAATAAAACATATACCCCTTTAAGCAGGAAAGGAAAATCGGGTGAAAGTCTTTAAAATATAAAGCAGGGAAAATGAAAAACATGAAATTAAAAGGCAGAAATAAGTCCTAATAAAAAGTAGTTCCACTAAATGTAAGTGGATTAAGCACATAAAATTAGAACAGAAATTCTCTGAGTTTCCAACAATTTTCACAATATATTGCTTACATGTAATACACTTAGAAAAAGATTTTAAAAGGTAAAGAAAAGAGTTAGAATTTATAGCTGGCTAACATAAAACAAACAGTTGTGGAAAGTTGTAAAATTCTTATATTTAATAAGACAGAACTTAAGGTACAACATCATGAGACAGATATATGATACAAGTAAAAGGCACACTTGACTATGAAAATACAGGAATATAAACATAATGTGCCTAAATATTTCACAAAAAAAAATACTGGGCAACATTATGGGAAATGCAAAAAGAAATAAATCATGAACACAGGTATTTGGAGAGTCACATCCCTCTCAGAGGATTAGAACCAAAGAGGCAAAAATGAAGCAGATGAGCCAACATTCTAAACCAGGTCACTAAGACATTCCAGGTATTAAACCACTGAATAACATGTATAAGTATGTTATATACATTATGATATATGAGTATATAGTAAGTATAAAGTTCTAAGTAAGTACTATTTTCTAATACATAGAATATGTAATTGCATATTTCAAATTGTTTTCAACTCTATAAATTTATTAAGAATGCTTCATAAAACAGACTAGTTACAAACATATATAACCTGTACGTGCATACACACATATATAACTCTCCCCATGAATAAAAGATCATATACATTTTTTCAAATATATGGAATGTATTTACAAAAGTACTCCTTTTGTAAGTAAGCCCAAAGACATTCTAAAGAATCAACATGATACAGATATACTCTCTAAATTAATGCAGTGAAATTAAGAATGCAGAAGAGAAGTAATGATAAAATAGTATGTTTTGAACCTAAAAATATTTTAATATATTCTTATATAAATTATTATGTATGTAAATAACATATTTTAATAATTTAAATACTGTATATCAAAATGTATGGGCATGCTAATATGAACAAAGCCAATTAGTACCTAGAAATACATTTATTGGAAAACATAAAAGGTGAAAAACAAATGAGCTAAGCAGTCAACTCAAGAAGATGGGAAGGAGGGGAGGGGGAAGGTTGGGTGGAGGGAGAGTAGTTGGTGGGACCACACCTACGGTGCATCCTACAAGGGTACATGTGAAACTTACTAGGTGTAGAATATAAATGTCTTAACACAATAACTAAAAAAATGCCGTAAAGGCTGTGTTAACCAGTTTGATGAAAATATTTCAAATTGTATATAAATATAACAGCACATTGTACCCCATGATTGCATTAATGTACACAGTTATGATTTAACAAAAAAAAAAAAAAAAAGGAGAAGAAGATGGGAAGTCAGCAACAGACCAAATCCAGAGAAATAGAGAGGAGAAAACAATGATGGTGAGGGCTGAAGGAAATTTAAAAATCAATTTTTAAAATGGAGATCAGGGAAATTGATGATTCATTCCTTTAAAGTTTAATAGAATACACTTGCATTTGTCAAGATATGTCAAAAGAAAATATAAAGAACAAACTGGAAAAACAGGAAAGTGACCACACACTCATTCTACCAAGATTTTTTAGTAAATATTGATATAACATGGACTAAATCTCATGAGTAATCCTAAAAGTGGAGAAATCCTTAAAAACACATAAAAATCACAACTAGCACAAGAAAATACACATGTGAATAGATTCATACATATGAAAGAAATCAAAATGCTTGATAAAGACCCATTCTCACAGAAAATCCAAAGGCTCAGATGGATTTATGGGTATCACCAACATTTCAGGAAACATTTGACTCATATTTCATATAAGATGTTGCAGAAAACAACAGAAAATGACCACAGCAGCCTAGCCCATCTAAATGGCCAGTGTCCTTAAAGTCTCTAAAGCAGTTAAGTGTAAGACAAGAAAATTAAATTATAGGTTCATTTCCCTGATATACATGGAGTCAAAAATAAAATAAAACTAGCTCACTAAAAAGAATGTATTATGATCAGGTAAATTTCATCCCAGAATTAAAAGGCTAGTTCAACTTTAGAAAATCCAGTAATGTAAATGAAGCGAACAAATAAACTACAGGAAAAGGTCCGCCAATGCAGAAAAATCTCTGAGAAGTTTCAAAATATTTATAATCTAAGAAACTAAGAAAAAGTTCTTATTAAAGTAGAGATAGGAGGATGTAACTTGGTAAAGACCGCACGCCAATGACTATTCTAAATATTGCTGAGTTGAGAAAATACAAACTCAAATCAAGGGTCTCCCCAGCCATTCCCTAATGCTCAGTATAGTGTTAAAGGTCCTGCCCAGAGCTAGAAGAAAAGGAAAACAGAGAAGGCAAAAAGAGAACTGGATGAGAAGAAAAGCAACTCACCCTTGCAGATGATGGAATCATTTACTTGGAGAAAAATTAGGCTGAAGCAACCCACTGTTAGACCTCACAAGAGAGTTTAGCAAGGCTGCCAGGTACAAGAGCCAGTGACAAATATCAGAAGGCCTTCTCTATCAAGAACAATCATGTAGAGAATCTAATCACATGAGGTACTACTCATTACAACAACAACATCTAAAAAGTGTCTAAGAAGAATTAGTTCAAGACCTGTTTGGAGGAAATTTTAAACTGCTAAGAAATGACAGGTGATCTGAATAAACAGAAATAGTCCGTGACGTTGGAGGAAACAATAATATTATGATAATGTCAATTTCTCCGAAGTTACAAAGTCTTTAAACATGACTCCAAATATGACTTTGGCTTGTCTTCTTTTAAAGAACTTGATAAATTAACTCCCAAACTGAATTTAAACAGAAGATGGGTGACTGGCCAATTCAACCATGATAAGTAAAAATGAAGAGAGGACATGCTTAGCAAATGTGATAAAACTGATACCACGAGGTGCTTGTGCAAGACCTGATAAATGGGACAATGGAAACAGCCCGAGAGCTGGGACAGGCCTGTGTGTATAGAGGAATGGACTTTGAGATAAGGCAGCACCCAGATCAGTGGGAGAAACGGCTTATTATCTGGCTGGCATCCTTGAGGAAACTGGTGGAACATAAGAAAAAATTTAAAGTGAACCCCAAACTGGATGCCTACTTAAACACATAAATAGGTGTGTTCCAGATGACTTCGATTTATATATGTGAAAAAGAAAAGTAATAAATTAAATGGAAAAAAAAAATACTGCGGAAGTATACCTGTGTGACCCAGGAGTGAGGAAGGATGGCTTATACAAATCTTATGAGCACAAATTACAAGGAAAAAGTACTTTGATTACATCACCATGGAGGAATTTTATTCACTGTCGAGCACTACGGGAAAAGCTGTCAAGCAGATGATGGACTGGGAAAAGTTAACGAGAAGATCTGAAACCAGCTTGGTAATGCACCAGCGGCTCATGCTACTGAAGAGAAGGGCCAGAATCCCAATGGAAAACGGGGGCAGCCCGTGACAGGCAGGGTTGGGGAGAGAAAATCTAAAGAGCAGACGTGTGATGCCCACACTTATGGGGAAATACAAGTTCAAACAGCCATGAGATGCCACAGAATAGCTTTCAACCAGTAAAGCAAGCATCCTGTTAAAAGGCTCTCAGTTGGGAGGGCTGTGGCACGTGGAACCCTTAGGGGACTTCCTCCCTCCCTGATGGGCCCACAGACATGGAGGCGGGGGAGCCTCTCAGGACTCAGACCCAAGGGCATCTTCAGGATCAGCCGAAATATCACAGCAGAATAAATGAGACCCCGAAATGGTGCAGGACCAGAGCCACTCAGGGGGCAGAGACAGAGCAGAGATGCAGGCTTCCTGGCTGTTGTTCCCTAGAGGCCTCCCCATCCCCTCTGTGTGGCCCTAGCCCTGGCCTGCCTTTCTCTGATTCTGGGGACTTTCCTGTCCTGGCAACTTTGCCTGTCTCTTTAGCCTCAGTAGCCTCCTGCGTCTGGGCCAATCTGAGGGCCCTGCCCTGCCTGGCCTGCTCAGGGCATTCCTATTCCCTGTCTCTATCCCTCCCATCTCTCAGACTGTTCCCTTGGTCTTCTGCCGGCCAGCCTTCCATCCAAGCTTCCAGGGTTCCCTCCAGGAGGGTCTCCTCTGAGATTCAGAGACCCCTGCACACCCCGTCCCCTCCCCTGTGTCTCATTTCGAGGTGAATCTTTATAGGAACACTCTAGCCACAAAGGGCCTGAGTGACAGAACTGGAGCAGGTGACATCCGAGGCGACATCCCACCCCCTTCTTCCTCCTCCTTGCAGGAAATCCAGTGCCCCCCTCTACCTGGACTCTGCTGCCCCCAGACTCCTGGTCTCTGTGCTGTGTGGACTCCCTGTGGCCATAGGCCTTGTGCTGTGAGTCCTGTTTGGCCTCCTGAGCTGCAGGCGCCGGTGAGTGGGGCCTGGGTGGGTGAGTGGGCCTGGGCGCAGCCTGGGAGGCAATGCAGACAGAGAGCACAGAGGCAAGTAAAAGTATAACTAAGGCTCAATTAAATATGTATTATTTTTCACAACTCTGTCTCCCTTAGAAATGGACCTTAGAGATAGGCCGAGGTTTTCCTGGTGCCCCCAAACCCCAGGCTCAGACTCAGTCTGTGTCCCTAGAGGAAGAAGGGCAGGAGGAATTAGCCAACAGTAGCTGGGTAGTAGCTGGTCCGGCTGGAGCAGGTGACAGGGAAGGCAGGTAACGGGGTGACCAGGTAACAGGGACGGGGAGGAGAAAGGAACAGGAAAGAAGGCCAAGGAAAGGATTCATTCTGTTTGACTTTCCTCCTCATCTCCCTCCTCAGGGTCACAGGATACCATGGGGACACCCTGATGGAGGCTTCTGATTCTGCCAGTCCAGCTCCAGGACCCTTGGGGGCATTGGGCCCACCTGTGGGTCCAGGCTAAATCCCTGTCCTCCTGGCTCTGAGCAGCTACTAGGAGCCACCCTAACCCTGAGGCCCATAGCCCAATCAGGAAAGGCCAGCACCCAAGCCTATGGGAGACCACTGCTGTCCCCATACTTCCCTGCTGCCACCCCCATGTGGGGACTGAGCTTTCTTAGATTCACTTCTGCTGCTCAGTCCTTCAAGCGGCCCCCAAGCAGCAACTCCCAGAGTCCACTTGTATCCTAGTCAGTGCTTGGCACAGGCTCCTCCCCCCATGCGCTCCTGTCCTCTGCCTCTAGGACCTGCCGGTCCCTCAACCCAGCCTGAGCCTGCAGCACCAGGATGCCTCCCCGTCCCCTGCTTCTTGCCTCTGCTCTGCCAGAGTCCTCTATGTTTCTTGTGTGTAAACTCCAGCCTCTGAACACAAATGTGTCGGGGCCCCAAGCAGGATAACAGAGCTTCCTCCTTGCTTTTCTCCCCTCCATCCTCTAAATGAGAGGAAAATGATTCAGAAATAAATGATACATTGAAACTAAGAAAGGCTGTTGTCAGCACACCTGTTGATCGATGGCTTAGAAGTAACAGATAAAAATAGGAGGCGTTAAAGTGCCCAGAGCAGGTGACTGGGTAGCCTGAACTAGGAGCCAAGAACATTCCTCCATAAATGCAATCTGGCAATCTGAGCCTAAAATTGTTTCATATGTGACAAAATTCTTAGCCTAAAAGAGAAAGTCAAGTTGAACAAACAGAATTATTGGCTGTAGGTGAAAGGTATTTCAGGGACCAGAGAGGTGGTCACATTGGTGAAGGCAGAACAGGGAGAGTTAGCAGCATGTTTAGCCAGGAGGCCAGTGGGGCAGGTCTGTTAGCCCAGGCAGTCTCAGGCGGTTTCCTGGGGCACAAGGTTTTAGGCTGGACAAGAGATGAGTGCGAGATGGCAGGGCAGGGTGAGCTGTGGGATGTGCAGTCACAAGCATCACCGGGGGCTCCTGGGCCATCTGTGGGGTGCGGCCCTCAATGCATTTAGGAGGCTCCTGGATCCCCAAAGCTGAATGCCAAGCTTTGGGGTACATGCACCCTTCTAGGAGGAGGTCTTAAGAACGGGGCCAGCCACCCTTGGTTGAACGCTCTCCTTTCCATATCCTGCTTGTGCCATTGTGTGAGATTCATTTTGTTCCTTGGAACCTCATTTCTCTGCTGTGGAGTGAGGCTAGTGGTGGTGTCCTCCTCAGAGAATGGCTTAGAGGATTAAGTCAGGTGACACATCCAAGGATTCTAGATCAGAGCCAGCAGTGGGAGTGTTTGTCCAACGTTAGCTGTCCTTGACAATGTTGGGCTCAGTGGGTTCTGTGTCTCCCACAAATATTTACTCTGCACATGCTCTTTCAGGATGTATCTGTGGACCTTACAAAATTTAGTAGACTGCAGTGCATTACATCCTTAATTGCCCCAACTGAAAAAGATAATTTCTACCTTTCAGCAGTTGTTAGGATTGAGTGAAAATGAAGCTGTGTCCAGATGGACCTGCTGGGCAGTCAGAAGGCTCACTCATCAGCTAAGTGACCAGGGTTGAAAAATCTGGTCTAGTGTCTCCATCCAAAGTTTACCCTCTGTGTGCAACAGAGGTGTAGCTGTGTCCCAGTAAAACTTCATAAAAACACAAGGTGGGCCCCTATTCTACAACTATCCTCAATTCTCCTGCATATCTTTCATTCCCTTTCATTTTCCAGGTATACAGGGGCAATCTGCTTTTTATTTATTTTTTTATTTATTGTTGAGGATTCATTGAGGGTACAAGAAACCAGGTTACACTGATTGCATTTGTTAGGTAAAGTCCCTCTTACAATCATGTCTTGCCCCCAAAAGGTGTGTCACACACCAAGACCCCACCCCCTCCCTCCTTCCCTTCCTTTCTCCCACCCCCCTCACTCCTTCTTTCTCTCTCTGCTCTCCCCTTCCCCCACCCTCTCTGTGTCATTAATTGTCTTCATATCAAAATTGAGTACATAGGATTCATGCTTCTCCATTCTTGTGATGCTTTACTAAGAATAATGTGGTCCACTTCCATCCATGTTAACACAAAGGCTGTAAAGTCTCCATTTTTTTAAATGGCTGAATAGTATTCCATGGTGTACATACACTACAGCTTGTTAATCCATCCCTGGGTTGGTGGGCATTTAGGCTGTTTCCACATTTTGGCGATTGTAAATTGAGCTGCAATATAAAGTCTAGTGTAAGTGTCCTTATGGTAAAAGGATTTTTTTCCTTCTGGGTAGATGCCCAGTAATGGGATTGCAGGATCAAATGGGAGGTTTAGCTTGAGTTCTTTGCGGGTTCTCCATACGTCCTTCCCTAAAGGTTGTATTAGTCTGCAGTCCCACAAGCAGTGTAAAAGTGTTCCTTTCTCTGCACATCCACACTAACATCTGCAGTTTTGAGATTTTGTGATATGGGCCATTCTTGCTGGAGTTAGATGATATCTCAGGGTGGTTTTGATTTGCATTTCTCTAATAATTAGGGATGATGAGCATTTTTTCATATGTTTGTTAGCTATTCATCTGTCTTCATAGAGAAGGTTCTATTCATGTCTCTTGCCCATTGATCTGTGGGATTGTTGACTTTTTTCATGTGAATTAATTTGAGTTCTCTATAGATCCTGGTTATCAAACAAAGTTGCCTAGCTTTTGTGGGTTTGTCATTAGAGAAAGTTACCTAGCTTTTGTCTGATTCATAATATGCAAATATCCTTTCCCATTGTGCAGGTTGTCTCCTTAGCTGTACAGAAGCTTTTCTGTTTAATTAAGTCCCATTTGTTTATTTTTGTTGTTGTTGCAATTGCCACGGTGGTCTTCTTCATGAAGTCTTTCCCCAGGCCAATATCTTCTAGTGTTTTCCTATGCTTTCTTTGAGGATTTTTATTGTTTCATGCCTTAAATGTAAGTCCTTTATCCATCTTGAATCAATTTTTGTGAGTGGAGAAAAGTGTGGGTCCAGTTTCAGTCTTTTAAGTGTGAATATCCAGTTCTATCAGCACCATTTATTGAATAGGGAGTCTTTCCCCCAAGGTATGTTCTTGTTTGGTTTATCAAAGATTAAGTGGTTATAAGATGTTAGTTTCAGGGTGTTGCCTGTGGCTCAAAGGAGTAGGGCGCCAGCCCCATATGCCTGAGGTGATGGGTTCAAACCCAGCCCTGGCCAAAAACTGCAAAAAAAAGAAAAAGATGTTAGTTTTATTTCCTGGTTTTCTATTTGATTCCAAATGTCTATGTCTCTGTTTTTGCGCCAGTACCATGCTGTCTTGACCACTATGGCTTTGTAGTACAGCCTGAAATCTGGTATGGTGATGCCCCCAGCTTTGTTTTTATTACTAAGAACTGCCTTAGCTATACGGGTTTTTTTTCTGGTTCCAGACAAAATGCACAATCATTTTTTCCAAATCTTGAAAGTTCGATGTTGGTATCTTAATAAGGATGGTATTGAATAGGTGATTCCTTTGGGAAGTATAGACATTTTAACAATGTTGATTCTTCCCAGCCATGAGCATGGTGTGTTCTTCCATTTGTTAATGTCCTCTGCTATTTCCTTTCTTAGGGTTTCATAATTTTCTTTATAGAGGTCCTTCACCTCCTTTCTTAGGTATATTCCTAGGTATTTCATTTTCTTTGAAGCTTTGGTGGAGGGAGTTGTGTTCTTAGTTAGCCTCTCATCTTGATTGTTATTGGCATATACAAAGGTTACTCACTTGTGGACATCAATTTTATATCCTGAGACATTACTGTATTTTTTGATGACTTCCAGGAGTCTTATGGTTGAGTGTTTGGGGTTCTCTAAGTATAAGATCATATCATCAGCTCCAGTATATGGGGCTGGCGCCCTACTCTTTTGAGCCACAGGTGCCGCCCATATTTTGTTTTCTTTATAGCCACTTTGAAAGGTATTGAGTCTTTGATTTGGTTTACAGATTGACTGTTATTGGTGAATAAGAATGCTACTGATTTGTGTACATTGATTTTATAACTTGAGACTTTGCTGAATTTATTTATAAAATCCAGGAGTCTCTTGGGAGAATTTTTGGGGTTTTGTAGTTATAAGATCATATCATCAGGAAAGAGTGATACTTGGGCCTCCTCTTTCTTCATTTCCTTCTCTTAATTTCCATCTCTTACCCGATTGCTCTGGATAGGACTTCTAGCACTATGTTGAATAGAAGTGGGGAAAGTGGGCATCCTTGTCTTGTTCCAGGTATGAAGGGGAGTGCTTTCAGCTTTGCTTTATTCAATATGATGCTGGCTATGGGTCTGTCATATATGGCTTCCATAATATTTTTTTTTTGAGACAGAGTCTCAAGCTGTCACCCTGGATACAGTGTTGTGGTGTCATAGCTCACAGCAACCTCCAACTCAGTCTCAAGCAATCCTCTTGCCTCAATTTTTCTATTTTTAGTAGCAACGGGGTCTCACTTTTGCTCAGGCTGGTCTTGAACCCATGAACTCAAGAAATCCACCCTCCTCAGCCTCCCAGAGTGCTAGGATTACAAGTGTGAGCCACTGTGCCTGGTCTGGCTTTTAGAATTTTGCAGTATGTTCCATCTATGCCTATTTTGTTAAGAGTTTTATCATGAAAGTGTGCTGAATTTTGTCAAAGGCTTTTTTTTGCCTCTGAGATATCATATGATCTTTGTTTTTGCTTCTGTTTATGTGATGAGTTGCATTTACGGATTTACATATATGGAACCATTCTTGCATCCTGGGATGAAGCTCACTCATTGGTGGTGGATTTTTTTTTTTTTAATATGCTACTGAATTTGGTTTGCTAGAATTTTATTGAGGATTTTTGTATCTATATTCATAAGGGATATTGATCTGTAGTTTTCTTTTTTGTTGTGTCTTTTCCTGGCTTTGGTACCAAGGTGATACTGGCTTTGTAGAATGAGTTAGGGAAGATTTGTTCCTTCTCAATGTTATGAAGCAATTTCTGCAGTATGGGTACCATTTTTTTGTAGGTCAGATATAATTTTGATGTAAAAAGATATAAATATTAAATATGAAAAATAGCCACATAAAGATCTAATTCTGGTCTTGGAAGATATATGTAAGTAATGTAAAGGCAGATATCATAAAAAATGGCTGAGAGATTTGTCAAAATTAAAAATTTTATTTTTTCTTAATTTTTTTTTTTTTTTTTTTTGAGACAGAGCCTCAAGCTGTCCCCCTGGGTAGAGTGCCATGGCATCACAGCTCACAGCAACCTCCAACTCCTGGGCTCAAGAGAGTCTCCTGCCTCTGCCTCCCAAGTAGCTGGAATCACAGGTGCCCACCACAACGCCCGGCTATTTTTTGGTTGCAGCCGTCATTGTTGTTTGGCGGGTCTGGCCTGGATTGGAACCCACCACCTTGGGTGTATGTGGCTGGTGCCTTAGCCACTTGAGCCATAGGCGCCAAGTCAAAATTAAAAATTTTAAAACTCTGTGTAATAAACATCATAAAGAAAAGGAAAAATAAAGAATAAACTCAACAGAGCATTTGGAATTAAATTG